ATCTGATGCATACTTCAATGCATCACCATTCTGTGTTACTGCAGCCATAACAACCTCCTTGTTGTCCTTCATTTCATCTGACACCCATCGCAATGCACCACCATCTTGTGTTACCACAGCCACAAGAACCTCCTTTTTGCCCTTCATTTCATCTGATGCATGCTCCAATGCATCCCTATTCTGTATTACTGCAGCCATAACAACCTCCTTGTYGTYYTTCATTYYATCTGAYGCCCATCSCAATGCAYGACCATCTTGTGTTACCAAAKCCATAACAATCTCCTTGTTGTCCATCACTTCATCTGATGCCCATCCCAATGCACCARCATCTYGTGTTACTGCAGCCAYAAGAACCTCCTTGTTGTCCTTCATTTCATCTGATGCATACTCCAATGCACAACAATCATTTGTTACTGCAGTAATAACAACCTCCTGGTTATTCTTTAGTTCCTCAGATGCGTACTTTAATGCCTCACCAACATGTGTTACAATATGCGTAACAAGCTCTTCGTTGTTCTTCATCTCGTCTGAAGCGTAAATCAAAGGAACACCGTCGGGTGGGGCAGCGGCTTCGACAACCCTCGCGTTGTTCCGCAGTCTCCTGGACGCGTGCTCCAAGGCATAGCCGTCCTCTAATACCGCCGCGAGCACAACGTCGATGTTGTCCTTCAATTCCTCGGATAAATCTTTCAACTCTATGTCTTCGCTCTTCAACCGTCGGATTGCGTTGGTCACGGAGAGATCCATTGTTTTTGTGCTAGGGGCGGGACAACCACGACGGCGTTCGGTATCTGTAGGTGCTCGGCACGATTCGCCTCGGTTTGATTTGATGCGATTTGATTTGGTTTGGTTTGATTTGATGCGATTTGATGCGATTTGATTTGATGCGATGCGATGCGATGCGATGCGATGCGATGCGATTTGATGCGATTTGATGCGATTTGATGCGATTTGATTTGATTTGATTTGATGCGATGCGATGCAGCGAAAAACGGCCGACAGAAATGGTTTGTTGTGTTGTGTCGTGTCGTGCCGTGCCGGACTGCAGCGAGATCCTCTTCCTTTATCGAATCCAGCCTGGGTTTGCTGCTAGACCGGTCCGAATATCGTTTGTTCCAGCTGTTGATTGGTTGTTACAGTAAGTATCGAATGCATCGAATGGAATAGAGCCAATAAAAAAGGATGTCTCCTGCGAACGAATACAGTACGAGTTACGAGCACGAGTAGGTACCAAGTACTGTACCTTACCGTACGAGATCGTACTCGTAACGAACGAATCTCGGTTCTCGAAAATAGTAAAAAAACACCCGCGAACGAATACACTACGAGTTACGAGTACGATCACGAACTCGTACGTACACAGTAGTGCCCTACCCAAGTACAGTACCAGGCAACCATAGGTATCCGGAACTAAACCTACTACATACATACCATATATAGGTACAGGGGCCATAAGATTAGCATCGATCCACTCGATCGTTTCGATTCGACTCCTCCCCCCGACGATTCGGAACGAGGCCCCGACCGGCCCGGCCCGCGCGATTCGAACGATGCAGGAATTGCCGGATTCCGAGGGGATCGCCCCGCTCGGTTTCCCCCTCGCCAATGCCACCCCGGGTCGTGTCGGTGGCGTCGTTGTGGTATCGTGTCGTGTGGTATCGTGTCGTGTCGGTGCGGCAGGGCCGTTTTGCGAATGCTTTTTTGTTTTCTCCGGGGCAGGCAACACAATCCAATACAAGGAGGCGAGGGAACATACCTACGGTACGTGCTCCCCCGTACGGCACCACGCACGGTAGGGTAGTATTGGTAGTACTACTTGTAGTACCGTAAGCATCGTGGCGTGTTTACCAGCTGTGTGAGCTTTCTTCCGCACCAGTCGATCGATCGGTAAAATCCACGAGTATTGTTACCAGTCGCGACAGACTAGAAAACAGAAGCAATCACTCTACCGATCAAGCAATCGAGCAATCGATCAACGACCCGCCCTATCACAGCCTAGCATTGCATTGCATTGCCTTGCCTTCATCACCCATCGACGCTCCCGGAATTGTATCATCGAACGACAATCCAATTGAATCCAACTGAATCCAACTGAATCCGTTCCGCGAAGAATGCCCGGCGACCGCAAGAAGAAGCAGTCCTATCGATCCATCCACACCGATTACAAGCCCTTTCTAAAGTACATTCGAAACCACTCGGACATCGACGACACCACGGTGGAACGACTCGAGAAGAAGTACGGAGGGGTTGCTAGCAACGGACTGGGAGACCTGGCTGGAACGAACACGAATACGAATACGAAGAACACCAACACGAATACCATGGACACAAGGGGCACCGTTGGAGCCTCCTTTTCGTCGCAGGCCCAGGCGGCCGCGGCCTCCCGAAAGGAGCGCGACGACGCCCGGCACGCGGACCTCCACGCGAACTACCAGCACGGGTCCTACACGGACGGGGACAAGATCTTTTTGCTCAAGCGGGAGATCGACACCCTCCGGAGCAAGCTGAAGGAGGCCGATCCGAAGGCGAAGAACACGAAGAAAAACCGCCTTTCCGCTCCGGGAGGCTCCGCCCTGGCCCCCCTCTCGGCCCTGCTGGCGGTCGGCCTGCTGCTGGTGGTGGCCAGGACCCTCCGGAGGAGGATCGCCAGGGCCCGGGCGGGGGGATCCCTGCTGGAAAGGGAGGAGGGGCCGGCCTCCGTCGAGCTGGGGGTGGCGGGTGTGACCGCGAATGCGAACGCAAACGCGAACGCGGGCCAGAGCACGACCGGGGGCTGGAGGCCCCTGGTGCCGTTGGAGGACGCCTGAGGAAGCAAGGCCCAACGAAACGAAACGAGAACAAACCAAAACCAAAGCATTCCGTGCCGTGACACAACACAACACAACACAACACAGCACACGGTGCCGGTTGTACAGTACAGTACAATGCAATCCAATGCAATGCAATACAGTACAGTACAGTACAATCCAATACAGCACAGTACAGTACAATAGTATAAACGAATTAGATTTACAGTATCGAGACACTGCCCCGCTGTGCTGTTCGCAAAAGGCGAACGATGCCGTAGTGCTTGTTTTGGGCACCGTACGAAGCAACGCGGATCGCGGCAGCCATGCCATGGCATCGCCGGAAGCCGGAGTCGCCGCAGCGCTCGCAACACAACACACATCCCCTGCCAGAGAAGGAAATTGCCCACACCCACCACCCGGGGGTGCCTTCGGACGCTGGGTCCYGCACTTGCCACCGGTGGCTCGGGGTGCCGTGCCGTGTTGTGTTGTGTGCCGTACGAACACGAACCGACCCGTGCCGTGCCTTGCCTTCGCGGGACGACCGACCGTCCTTCGGCCGATGGGTCCCCTTCGGTCCCGGACCGAAGAGTCCTGCTCCCGTTCGAAACAGCAGCAGCAGCAGCAGTAGTGCTGCCGCAGACTGGTACCGTACGAACCTTGGTCTTCTGGTTTTGGCACACCGGGGGCCGCCCATGGCTTGCCCACCGGTTGCTCCGGATCTACCGTGCCGTCGACCAGCACCGGCCGTTCTAGTACTGTTGTAGTCGCCATGGACGACTCGTAGTACCACTACCGTTAGTACTACTAGTACTAGCAGTAGCGATACGACGTTGTGTCTCGAGGGCGGGGACTCCAACAATGTCGGTACTACTAGTACTGTTCCGGTAGGACCCCCACTCCCTTGTACGACCAAAGCTCTCTCTTTGCGAAGAACAAATAGATAGAATGCAATGCATGCCTGGCATACCGCAAAACAACATTCGAAATACAGTACTGTAATTGGGAAGGTTGCTTGTGCGTTCCGAATGTTCACACGCACCACCACCACCACCAGTGTAGGCTACACAGAAATTAGTACGTACGTACTGCGGTTTGTGCTTCCATCCAGCGTCCTGGATGCGGTGCTTTGTAGCCCGAATGCTCCTACTACTAATACTAGCAGGAAAGGACGTTCTTCTTCTGTCTTGGGTTTAAGATAGTATGGGCAAGACCCCCCAAATAATTGTTTTTGGGAAGGTACTACTACTAGTAGTAGTAGCAGCGTGCTGCCAGCACATTGAAAAATGCCGGTTATTGGAATACTAGTAGTAGTGTCTAGCTATGTAGTACTACTACTACTAGTAGGAGAGCTCCTAATGTCAAGCGCACTAAAGTCAAGTAGTACTTGGCAATTCCCCAGGTGTCAATTTTTTTATTTTCCCGTCTTTGTTTCCCCTCTCCCCCCCCTCCACACAAAAAACTGACCGTCCTAAAATATTTCTATTAGTGCTCCTTACTACTTGGGACATAAAATCAGTGCTTACTACTTGAGAATTAATATTAGTAGTAGTACTTACTACTACTACTGGATCATCTCCATTACTACTACTTAACAGTTGGGATGTCAGAGTAGTGAACACTGCAAACTGCTGGGTAAGGGGGTTCTGTTGGTGCTGTTTGGTCGCAACCCCGCGTGTGCAGTTTTTGCACGAGCACTCGCCACGGGGAATTATGACTTTCAAGCTTACTACTACTAGTACTAAGGACCCCCTTTTTGTGATTATTTTTGCAACACAATGTGTTTCACTATGCACACAAAATTTATTCTGCCGTATTTCAACCCATACTCGCTCAACCACCGCTTAGTAATATGTTTTCTCTGGGGGGTCGTGATACAMAACCTCAATAGTGACAATGACACTAACCTCCGACCGGGACTCTTGGAATGCAACTCTGGATCTTCTCTCATAATTAGTACTACCTACTCTCAGCAATTAATCTTGTTGCAATCACTATTGTGGAACAATGGTTCTGCTAGTACCCTATGGTTTTGAATTTAGTATGAAACAACCAGGCCCCATTGCTACCTCACAGATGAGAAAATAAATGACTACTAGTAACTGTGTTACTACTATTATGTATGATGAATGAATTCTACAATTGATTACTTCCTCCGTCCATGAATGATTGTCCAGTTTGCACCTCTACGCTTGGAATAAGCTCAGTATTTGGGCAATTTCAATGCTTCTTTTTGCACTAAACAGATCTATTGTAGTGGTATACACTTGTGTTAATTGCAATAAGTTTATAGCATTGGTGTACTCTTTATAGCTATTCAAAGAGGCCCTATTTTGGCATATAAATGTGATTTCACCGTCAGTTATGCTCTACCGGTCATTCAAAGAGGGGACCGGTTTCTTTAAAAAGCCCAGACTGAGAGCTTTATCATGATATACTTATCGTACTCATTGAGAATGTTCCTGTGCAGTCATTGTTGGTCAAAAGAGAACCCAAATATTGCTCGGGCACTTGTTCGGGCGCATGCAGTTTTCATGTGCTTTTTTGAATTTTGCGCTGGAGAGAGGAATCGAAGAGAAAAAAAAGTGCTTCGCACATGGTGAAAAAATGCTCCCCGTGTTATTTTCACGTGATAAATTTCACTCTTGATTCACTCACACCTCCCAATTTCCTCTTTTCGACTCCTTTCTGTCACTTCGCTCTTTCCATTCAACTGACTAAGACCAGCTTCTTTCTTCTTTGTTGCACCTCAAGTGACTCATCGAGGTTGAGCCTACACGCCTCCACTACTACGCCACTGAGCGCCTCCACTGAGCACCTCCACTGAGCGCCTCCTCCACTAAGAGGGGGGAAGACCGACTCGCGTCTCCGTTGCTTCCACTAAAGGGGATCGGAAGACCGACTCTCGTCTCCAGCATTGCTTCCACTACTAAGAGGGAATCGCGCCAGCGCTTTCTCCCGCGGGGGGGGGGGAGCGCGTCTCCAAGCCTCCACTAAGAGGGGGGAAGCTGTCTCCATTGCTTCCACTAAGAGGCGCATCGACGTTGAGCAAGCACCTCCACTGAGCGCCTCCATCGTCTCCGTTGGTCATCGACGTTGGTGACTCGCGTCTCCGTTGCTTCTAATAAGAGGCGCGGGGGGGGGGGAGCGCGTCTCCAAGCCTCCACTAAGAGGGGGGAAGCTGTCTCCGTTGCTTCTACTAAGAGGCGCAGCCGTCTCCGTTGCTTCCACTAAGAGGCGCAGCCTCGCATCTGGACAATCAACCTGCTATCTCTTTGTTGCTTGTTTTGCTGTGCTGCTCTTTTCCATACTTTCATCCACTCACTTTATTGAATGTTGCTTCTTTCTAAAGCAAATCAACAAACAGCAAGATGATGGTGACTGACGTGATGGAGCTGCTCCTTGAATCCAGCCATACTGCAAGCGATACGGCAACAAGCGATACGGCAAGTGACACTGCCAGTGATACGGCAAGCGATACAGCTAGTCCTCAAAAGAAGTTGAGGCTATTGACCAACAACGAAAGAAGTGCAGTTCTTCACCTGCTTCTGCAAAACTTGAGAAGCAGTCATGGAGAAGACATGATTCTTGTGAAAGGAGCTTTGAAGAATGTTGCAGCAGTCTTCAACACTTCAAGCAGAACTATAGCAAGGATTTGGAAGCGGTATAAGGAAACTTACGATCCAGTCCAGGAGTAATCCTGGTGATAATGATAAGAAGTTAATGTTCTTGGTACTATTCTTACACAATCCTACTGTGGCTATAGCTTATGGACAGTCATTCATGGACAGCAATAAAGGTCACATTGGACGGTCATAGATGGACGGAGGAAGTAAATTGTTTTGGGCACACTTTAGTACAGGCTCATTGGTCAGGTTTCTGAACCTTTTGCAAACATAAATGTTGTCCATCATGGTAACGTCAACCCTGGGTTCCGAGTCAGTTGGTAGGATAACTCTACCATTCTTCCTTCTACATTCCTCCCTGAAGTGTTCTCTCGTCTGTTTTTCAAGCAACTCTCCCKTTTGAGGGTCCTTTTGGAGTTCCTTCTTAGTAATCTCAGTGCACAACTTTTGGTACAGAAACTTCTCCTCCGGAGCCCACCTGTGTCTCCTTCCGCTTCTTGTATTGCAGAATCTCTTCTGCTCCAACTTAACTGACCCTTCAGGAGAAATGATTCCCACACATGTAGTTAATTGTGAAGCATTAGGAGTGCAAATACCTTGTCCTCCACACTGAAAATCTTACTGAGCAAATCTCTGCCCCTTTTGTATTTCCATTGAAATCATTATTCCTACTAGCGTTAACGGATGCCATGATTCTTGTAGTAACAAAATAATAAAACTCAAGATTGTCTGCATTTCCCTATGCCCTGTAGAGTGGGTCTAGTAGAATCTTCTTCTCTTCATCCTTCATGTCTCAATCATAAATGCCCACCATTCCTGGAATTTTTCCAAGTAGAGACAAATTTCGTTATCACCACCACTGAACCCGTGACAGCTRCTAACACAACCTTCCACAATAGCCTGTTGACACAGATATCTGTTGATCTTATTGCTCATCAAAAAAATCATGTCTSGAAAGAACTTGGATTGAATGTACCCTTGMAAATTTCTGGTGAGCATTTGCTTGTTCAGTTTAGATATTTTCTCACCAGGGACCACCATAACCATAACTGTACCTTGTGCAGTTCCTGCTGCTAAACCGAGACCTGTTTTTACCTTCTCTGACACCCTTGTAATTTTTCTGTTTCTTTTTCCATCAACAACCTTTTTTGTTCGTTTTGTCTGATTAGGTTGGCAATCATATCAACGTTTGTGTCACCAACCTTATTTCTATTGTCAGCACACTTGCCAGTGCTTACAGTATTCAGGCTGTTAGTAGATCTCTCTGTCACCTTCTTTGTTCCTGTCTTGTTACTTACTGCCTTCTAACCCCTTCCATTCAGTCGTATAGACCTGGTTTTTCCCCCTGGGGTTGTTGTTGGTGGTGATTTTCTATGTTTCATTGTGTTTAGTGAAGCTCTGGTGGGGTCCAACATGTGTGGTTTTTTTTCAATCCAACAAATTAGCTAGTGATGTCCTAAAAGCAATGGTTGGTGGTTTTACCACCAGTATCACAAACCCACCTGTCACACTACTCTCCAATTACAAGGATGCATTGTTGTACCATAGAAAGCAAAGAATTTCTGGGTGGCCATATTCTTTAATTTTTATAAGATGTCTTTCAT